CAGCATAGCATCCGGATGACCCTCCACTACCTCCACCTCCAATGATGCTCTTTGATCCTGAAGACCCACCACTGGATCCCCCACTGCAGCATCCCTCCACTACTCCACTACCTCCACCTCCAATGATGCTCTTTGATCCTGAAGACCCACCACTCCATCCTCCTCCCATGCCATCCTCCACTCCAATGATGCTCTTTGATCCTGAAGACCCACCACTCCATCCTCCTCCCATGCCACCACTGGATCCCCCAGCATCCAGATCCACTGCAGCATCCAGAGGATCCCCCACTCCCACTGCAGCAGGATCCACCTCCTCCACCGCCAGAGCTGACAATGATCTTGCCAGAGCCCCCACTGCCCCCGCCGTAGCTGCCCGAGCCTGAGCCGCCACAGCAGGAGGAGCCCTGTGCCTGGTAGCTGGAGGAGCTGCCCCCGTGGCAGCAGGAGCCCCCGCTGTGGCATCCGCTGGACTGGGAGGATGATTCATGGCAGCCTCCGGAGGTCTGTCTGGAGCACATCTTTGAGCAGTCAACCTACAAGAAACCTACAAGAAACAGTGTCATCAGAAAGGAGCCCCTTGGACCTGCTGTTGAACTTCAGTCCCACTGTAGGTCCTTATGGATCTATAGATCTCTGAAACTCACAGCAGCTGAAAACTCAGCTGTATTTGTGTGGCCTTAGAATATCAGCTACAACTCCATTCTGTAAGGAAAGCACACCAAATTGGTTTTCAGAGAACCCCATCTGATGTTGAGCCGGCATGTTTCTCTCGTTCAAAGCATGCTCAAAGACCAACTGGTGGAGCGACCTCTCAGCATAGGGGTTCAAAAAGTTTCCGTATCAATGGGCTTACCTTCAGTGCAACTGGAAATGTGTTCAAGGCTCGGTGGCAGGTGAATGAGGAGCCTTGGGATAGGTGAGCTTTTATATTGTATGCATTGTGCTCTTAGGGGAAGTGAGACACCCTAAGGAATGCTGATAGATTTATTTACTGAGCCTGGCTCTAGCTACCTCCTTCTTTGACTCACTTACAGCAGGTAGATGATAAGGAGGAGATGTATCAATTATTATGTTCTGCATTGCAGTTGCT